TCCCAAATATKTTTTAGTGCAAAAAGCTGGCTCTCACAATAACATAATCCAGGCAAGGTCCCAAATTTGATGGCCAGGGAAACTTGGTTTTGAACAGCACAGTAATAGTTAAATTTAATATGGTTCTGTATGTTAGTCCAATACCAACACAATCCCTGCCCTAAAAAACTCAAAATCTAAACAGATTAGACAAAGGATAAGAAAAAAATGTGAGAAGATTTGCCTGAAATCAATTTGCWGTTCAGCAGTAGTGCCAGAAACTTCATTCTCTCATCAACAGTGGTAGGTGGAAGGAGAGTGGCTGAATGTGTCTATTTCTAACAGCAAGACAAGGGGAGAAAAGCTTCACAGTAGTGTTGTCACCTTCAAAATCCCCCACCCTGGGGAGCTTCTTAAGGGTGAGAATGTAGAGACAGAGCTGCTTGGTTTAGGCCAGGAGAGGATTTAGAAGAACAAGATGCAAGGAGGAGTAAGACCCCCTTAAAATCAGTCAGGTCTGGTGAGGAAATCAGTGAGTGCAGAACATTGCTCTGACTGTCAAGTTTTAAACTTTTAATTAAGGTTGCAAAAAACTGGACCATTGCATTTCAGGAGTGGCAGGTTGGCCAGGGGAAGAAAGCAGGGAGAGAATGGCAGAGCATCACATCCCTTTTTTCCTTCTGTGGACCTGCACAGAAATATAGAAGAGAGTTAATTGGCCAAGACATTGCTAATTGCAGAGCTAATTAAAAAATTCACAAGTCCTCTGTGTCCTGCAGATCTTCTCACCTAAATTTTTTGCACCAGGCTTGAACTTGCTGATCCCCAAGGAAGCAGTCCTGGGCACCCCCTGTGTGACCTGTGCTGATGGAGATGAAGGTGATGTCTCCACACAGCACGTGGAATTGGAGATACTCTGCAGTCTTGGGAGCAGATCTGCTGCCAGTAAATTGGTTAATTAACAAAAGGTCAGGGGCACTTCATCTAGAGCAGAGTTTGCTTGAGAAACTTTGTTGGAAGTGCCTCAGGTGACATTTTCACTCCACRGTGCTCACAGCACCTGCCCAGGTCTGTGCTGTGGTGCCCTTGGCCCTTGTGAAATCAGTGGGAAACAAACTGGGCTGGATACCTGAGAACCACACTCGTTTAAACAAGATTTCCAAGMATTCAGACTAGTTAGGTTTACTTTTTTTTCCTTTTTTTTTATTCAGCCACGTCTCTCCAAACTCTGGCTCATAACCAGTCTGCTCTTATTGGATTTGTGCGATGGTAATGACTGGCATCTTGTGAAAAAATCCRACCAATTCTAACCCGATTAGTGAAAAAGCAAAAAAAACCTAAATCATTAGACCTTCTGGCCYTTGCTAATGATTACCAATAACCCTGTGGCTTCCCCACTGGGGCTTGAAGGCAGTTCTGTTTTTCAGGAGTGCCCTGAGGGGAGCTGAAACTTGAACAGCAGCGCAGAAGGGTCAGCTTAACCTACAGAATTTGCCTCTTGCCATTTGCATGTGAACAAATCTTCTGCAAAATGTAACAGGATTGCCTCAAACTCTGCCAGACTGCTGGATGGCAAGTCTGGCCTGGCGATTCACACAGCAAAATCAGTGCCAGCTTGGTAAGAAAAAGATACAAGCCCAGAGTGGCAGAGGGGTTAAGGCTCTCTCAGTCCCCTGAGCAAAGTGGTGCAGTACAATGAGATTAAACTCTGCTGAAACTAAACCAGCTCTTGAAATGTTTTGATCCAGATGATCTAAATGGTGCCAAACTAAGTTAAAGCTGTGAGATTGAAAACAACATGTGTTTTTAGTCCAGATAGAATTCTTATTTCATGACTTTATTGTAACTCCTCTAAAGCTACCTGTGTCATCCATATAGGTAAAGCCATCAGGTAAAAGCACTGACTTTGAGTTTTACAGGCCAGCTGTCAGCCTCCCTCACCTTCAAGACAAACTCCTCCTGTTGGTTTATTCCAGGYCATCCATCAGTTAGGCTCTGACTTCACCACTGCACCTCCATTATTCACTGAGTGATATAAAACCTTTTATTGGTGCATCTTAACTAAAACTGGTTCCTCACAAAGTGTCCTGTGCATCAGGGCTTAGAATTGGAAGGGTCTGCAAAGACCTAAGGAATTCAGGAAGAATTTCTCAGTTGAAAGGATGGTTTAGCCTTGGAATRGGCTGCCCAGGGAGATGGTGAAGCCACCACCCATGGAAGAGTTCAAGAAATGATTGGATGTTGCCCTCAGTGCTGGGATTTAATTGRCACATGATAATGGATCAAAGGTTGGACTYGATGATCTTGRGCATTTTTTCCARCATTGATTCCAGGATTCTCTGATTCTATGATCCTCCAGTTCAGCCCCTTGTTAGCAGGAGAAAACCTTTAAACAATTTTGAAACATCCCTTTAAAAAGAGGAAGAGAGAGGAAAATCACTTAAATCCTCTTGTAAAACAGCAAAGAAATTTCATCGTTTAACCTCTCAAAAAAAAAACCAAAACTGAGGTGGGCAGAGTCCTGCTGAGACTTGCCCAAGTTTATGAACAAGGAGGAATGAGCCACAGGGATTTTGTTGCAGGCCTAAATCTGGCCCAAGTAGCATTAAATCTTGCCTTAACTGGAGTATGTCYGATGCTGAAAAAGCTTTCAGATAGATTACGTCTGTGTAAAATGGGAAGCAAGACAGCTTTTGCTTTTGTCTGATAGAAGCAGTGGGGAACTGAACCATGAATTATTGGAATTTTTTGCTCCCTCAGGCTCTGCAGTTACCTTGCAAAAGCATGCACCTACATATTTGGCCAGCTTTCCCCASGAGGGCACCAGGCTGGAGAGCAAAGGCACAGAGGGTGTGGGGTRCTGGTACCTGCTCAGCTGCTCAGCCACTAAACAGGGCTCAGGCTTGGAGTTTGACCTCGATTACAACTCAAAATGAGCTTAAAGAATAAATCCCTTTAACATGTGCTGCACATCAGCAGAGCCAGCCAGGCTGCTCTTGGTGGGAATGATCAGCACAGTGAGTGCTGGGAGAATGGGGGTCCTGATGCCCAGAGCTCACAAGTTTTCTTGGATGAAACTCTACCTTGAGCTGTAGTTTGAAGCTAAGAGGATGCTSCTGATCTTCTCACTCTGAGAAACCCTTTAGAGATGCCCCTAACAAGATCACTGCTATCAGCAGGGAGGGGGAGGTGAAGGAAGTGAAACAAATTATTGAATGACCAAGACTGCTGGTTAGAGACAGCAGACAGACATCCCTGGGGCTCTCCAGGTAAACTGACACAMCTTACTCACCCATTTTCACATGTTTTATCCATCTTCCYATCCCTGGAAGTGYTCAAGGCCAGGCTGGRTRGGGCTGTGAGCAGCCTGGTCTAGTGGAAGGTGCCCTGTGGCAGGGGATTAGAACCAGGTGATATTTGAGGTCCCGTCTAACCCAAACTATCACAGGATTCTACCACCTCTTAGGGAAGGTGTTCAAAGCTAATCCAGCACAGAGAGACCATTCAAGAGCTCTGACAAACTTAGCCTCTCCAGGGGAGGTTGCAGGTGAGTCTGCCGTGCCCCTTCACCACAAAAATTGGACAACACACAGTTGGGGCTGCAGAGTTTTGTTATTATGGTTGTGTTTGTCTTTACTTAGGCAGTTTGGGGCTAAAACAGTTCCTTTCTAAGGCTGTGTTGGTCTTTGCACATCCAGGTGTGCCCTGCCCCAAGCTTGTGTGCACTTTTGAGCTTTTACCTCTCAGCAGGAGCGRGCAGGGCAGGGGAAGCGTTTATCACCGGTGGAGTGTCAGCAGGRGAGTGTTTCCCCCTCTCAAAGCCTTTGAGCCCCGTGGAAGGGAAATGCAGCCAGCAGGATGTGCCGGGCTGYTGCGCTGGGGTTTGTGTTCATGTCTGGCTCGTTTCTGCTGGAAATTGCAAAATCTTTCCTGTGCAAGGAGCGGGAAGTTTTGCCCTTCACGTGCGTGTGGATTGTTGTGTATTAAAATGGGGAGAAGACTTAGGACACATGTGAAGCACCAGAACAAACCAGAGGGGGGGGCAGGAATCACACAGTTCAAAGTTGGTTTTTCATAGAYTCCTATGCAATGGGGATTTTTTGAATTTTTTTTTTTATTTATCTAACTCTTAATTCCACTTTATTCTCTCTGTTTGTGTTTACGTGTTTATATTAGGAAGGGGGAAATTGTCTTTTTGCGGGGGAGGGGGTGAGGGTAAACACAAGAGGAACTTTCTGAGTTTGTGAATTAAAAAAAAATCAGTTATTTATTCTTTACAGCAAATACTTTAAAGAGCTATGGAGACAGAAAGCTGACATTATCAAGCCACTCTACCTCCTGCCTGCTTCTCCACCTCCCTTCTTTCCCCTTCCCAAACGGAGAAAAATACCTATTTGAGAGGAGAGRAGGTCGTGCCTGGGATCATCAGGCATCCCTGGGACGGGGGCAGAGCTCGCCTGTGTCCAGCGCTCCCGAATTTTGTATTCTCCTAAATCCTCCTCTCCGGTCCCGGTGCCGGCAGCCCGGAGAGCAGCTGGGATGGAGCCGAGAGCCTAAAAAACTTCGTTCTGCAGGGGGACCTCTAGTGTTTTCCTTTCTCCATGTCCTGGCAGAGTTCCTCCAAAGTACAAATACACACAGAGCTCCCATTGTTTGCAGCCCTTCACAAGCCCACTGATCCTAATATGGAATTCAGCAGGAAACCCATGATTTCCTGACACACAGCAAGCTGGAGAAAGAAAGGAAAAACTCCATTAAAAACCTCCAGACTCTCCTCCATGTTAGAAGTGCAATGGAAAATGGAGTGGATTTAACAGGAATCCCCGATTCCTGCGGCCAGGCTGGAGGAAGGGAGACGCGAATCGAAGCCGCAGGCTGCTGATATTTTGGAAGTCGCAGTAAAGACTGAGAACTGCCGGGCAGGATGAGGATTTCCTGACTGGGACAAACGAAAAAGGCCAGATCACTT